TCGGAGGGGAAAGCCTCCTTCCTGCTCGATTAAAAAAAAACCTGACGTGCTCTGATTTACATTGTGCGTTATCCTGCAAAGAGAGCGGAAAAAGGGAGGAGTGATCCATGAAGAGGCTGTGGGAGGATCGGCACTACTTAATCCAACAAAAAAGCTAGAAAGAATGCAGAAACATTGTAAATTAGAAGAAATGATCCTAGATTTTGTGTAGATTGTATTGTATGCTTTAGCCTTGTTTTCTACCAGGAAAGTACTCAAGAAATGACATGGTCCCAGCGTGAATCTGCCTGTCGGCCCCGTGTCTTCTCAGCAGCATTGAATCCTGTTAGCTGCTGAGGACCAAAGCCTCAGAGAAGTTCTTGTGAGTTTAGAAATACTGAGTGTTGGTGGAGCTTGGTAGAGCTGCCACTGAGGGAAGGATGGGCAGAACACAACCATCCCAGCCCCTGGCAACCCCCAGCCAGACCTTCATCTCCTCTGTGGCTCTGCCCTCCCCACAGCACGTCCAGTTTCCTAGGGAGGATACATCAGCAGAAAGCACTGTGTGTATGGGGGGAGGCTTAGGGAGGCCCTAATCTTAGGGGCAGAGATACGTGAGGACTGGGTATGTGAGGAAGACCATGAAAACTCAGATGATTGGAAAGGGAAGAGAGTTGGTGGGTACAGGACACAAGCCTGTAAGAAATGAACCTCATTTCTGTTGCTCATGGGATTAACAAATCCACCTGAGGTCACAGGTGCTATAAGGTAATATGCCTTACAATACCTTACATACTGGGCACTTTGTACATGGGCTGGGGCAACTTTTTATTCTTGCCTAACTTTTCCAAAATGCAGCAGTTTACTGATCATGTTTCCTGGGACAGTGTGGGAAGCGAACATGCTGGCCAGACTGCTGAGCCGTGAAAATGGCATAATTGGCTTCATGGTCCAAAGAAGAGGTATCAGAACTGCACAGCTGTAAACCTCAGTTCTGGGGCACGTTGATTTTCACTGACCACTGTAGTGTGGATAAAATGGTCCTGGGCTCTTTGCATTGTTTATATCAAAGGTTCCCAAACTCTTTAATGAATGAAGGTGAAATCTAGACTTGAGCACATGTAAGAGTTGTTCAGCAACTGTCACAATCCAAAAACTCTAAGCAGGGAGTGTGAGAGAAAGCAAGTCTGTGCTTCAGACACCTGTGTCACAATTCCCTCCTTCACTGTTTTTTGTGAGCTGGAATAAATCAGAGGAAGGTACCAAGGCAGTGACTGCAATCATCAGGAAACAAGCCTTGTGACAGCCCTCACTTCAGGGAGGCAGGTGAGTGGAGGGATTTGGGCTTTGATCAGGACAAAGAGAAGTCAGGATGAAGGATTGGGCCAGCTGCCGAAAATGCCAGACTCCTGAGGAGAGCAACCTGTTGGTGAGTCCACTGCCCGCCTTGCATGTGCCAAAGACTTAGTTCTTGCTGCTGAGAGTGTGTAGGAGGGGTATAGGGTGGTTGCTGCCATGTGTTTGCCATTCCTCCTCCATTCAGCTCTCCCACCTTCTCTCTCCTTTTATCTTGATCCATGTATAAATACAAGTGAAGCCTTGGCCCCAAGTCATTAAGACTGGCACAGTTAATTTCTTATCTGCTTCTCTTTCATGAACTGGCATGGCTTTTGTAACACTAGCAAGAACCTTGCCTTGGAAGATCCACCCAAAGATGGGTCCCAGTGCCAGACAGCTCCGCATCACATCCTAATTTCTTATTCACATACAGTTGAAACCCAGGCTTAGCTAAACTAGGAGATGTGGTGAAACCTCAGAGGTGAAATATCTGCAGAGATAAGGTGTGGTGGGACTGTGCTGTTTACAGGGACTTGTACTTTGCAGTTTATGGGAAGCCTCAGTGGGAGTGGATGGTTCTGCAGCAGGTCAATATTGCACAAGCGACTTCCAGAGCGAGTTAGACCAAATGGCTGTCCAAAGGCAAATTTTGCTTGGAATAATGTGCAAAGGTCTGATTTTCAAGTTTCCACTGGCCATACAGTTCAGAGAGATTCTGGATTTTCAAATATTTCTTAATTTCTGTGTTCTAATTCTAGTATTACATCTACATCTTCAAGCAAAAAGAAAATTGCTTTCAATATAAGTAATACATTTGCTGGATGCTTGTTTACTGTCTTTACTCATCACCACCTGCCCATACCAAGCCGTCACACATGTCTGTAACTGTAGGCAACAGTTTCCCATCCTGGTTCATCCCAAAGTCCTGAGAACAGGTTCACCACCAGTAAACATAGGCCTGATTCTCCAACAACCAAATGGGGCTGTACCACCTGACAGCAGTATTTGATATTGGCCTCAAATCTAAATCTTTATGATTCCATCTATCATATTTTACATTATTTCATAACATTTGTGTGTGCTATAAATACTTTGCAGGCTCTCTTGTAGCCGCCTGCTTAAGACAGGAGTCCTGCCTTTAAAGGTATACAGGCTTGGAAAGAACTGATTCCACAAATGTAGTATTAGAGCAATAATTTACACAAAACCTTTCATCCTGCCTGGCACATGGTGGTTTATATTCACTGCAGAGTTGACTCTCTGAGACCTCCAAGTGTGATTCTCCTCTGAGAGGAGACCCAAATATACAGACTTTACACAAGAGACTCCTTGCATACTTAACATTACTATGCATTAAATAAATGCATTCCCCTCTGTGGTAGAGGGCAACAGTCATCTCTGTCTTACCACATTACATATCAAAGGAAGGAGAATTATAGCTAAGGTTATAAAGCTTCCTTAAAAAAAAAAAAGTGCCACGTGGAGCTTTCAGTACATTCCATCTGAAAGAAGACCACGCAGGAATCATCACAGTCTTCATTTTATCTAAGTCAAAGTGAAGATCTAAAATGGACCTTCTCAGTTGTGAATCTTTGTTCCAGAAAGTCTTAAATAGAAAGTGGAGAGCACTATACCCTATGGCCTTTCCAGACTCTAATACAAGGCCAGGCGAGAAGCTATGAGGTACTTGCGTATCTACACAGGCCTTTGGAATCATTCAGAGTTGATAGGGGAAATGCTAAAACCACTGGACAACAGCTGTATATAGCACTGCAGTTCATGGCTCAGTACTGCATAGTGCTAAGCACCCTCTTAATGGCTGAGAATTCTTCATTCCCAATGTCTTTTCTATCACTTGAAGGCCTTCAGATCCTTCCAAGTTTGAAACATCTTGTCATCTCTTCCAGGACTGGCAGCCCCTGTAAAATTCCACCTCTCAAAGCTTCCCTGCCTTACACATTAACCAGAAATGATTATTCCAGAAGAATGCACCAAGGCAGTTTAGTCAAAGTGAAGCAGTCCACTTCTTGATGATTCACAGGTGCTTTTTATGTGTGTCTTGGAAAGGGCAGAGGTCCTTTCAGAGTTACATGATTTAGCATTTGCAGTGCCTCAGTTAAGCAAAGAATATGATTTGGAAATGTTTTCAGAGGAAGAGCTGGATGGCTCTGAAGAAGATACTCTGTATTTTCCTGCAAAACAAAGCATAGTGGTTAGATGTAAGGACAGATAGCCTGAAACATGTTGGCACTGCAATGTAAGGACTATTAAACCTGTCCTGATGACTTTGACTTGGTCTGCAGCCCTGATACGAGCTGGATTACAGCAATACCACCAACCACAGAAATTTTGTTGGGTGACACAGCCAGGATGTGTCAGCTTGAAATGATGATCATGCCATAAGGAGTAGCTTACTCACACAAATGAAGGGACTTGCTGGTCTTCCTTGAGCATGGGGATCCATCTAGAATACGTGGTCTTGAGATGAATCCCAGCTCCCTCCCTTCTGTGACCTCGAGGCTCTAAACTAAGACCCAGGTGCACAGAGCCCGAGAGCAGAGTGTGGAAGAGAGTGCTAATAATCTGCGAGTTTCAGGTGGCAGCAGCATGGGAGGCAGTTGTGGGCAAATCTCATTCTTGTGGTGGGAGGCTTCTGCATCTACCTAGTGTACTCTTGTAAACTTACTATAGCAGAGTCAGAGACCAACTTCTTGTTTCATTATCTGACTAATAAACAGGCTCTTAAAAAGCAGTTGCTTGCCTACATTAAACTCCTTCATATCCTACTGACCAAATGTCACCATCTTCTCTGAGCAAGGGTTGGATGCAAAGATTACACATTTAGGGATGCAATTACTCATATTTTCACCAATGCTTCTTCCAAAATAAAGTCATAACTGAAATGGTGACATCCATAAAATGACTGCCAGAGAACTTTGAACAGTTACAACTCCAAAGTGGTGAAAAGTACATGACCAGTAAATGAACAGAGGAGCACCATGTCATCATGCCATTAAGCTCAAAACAAAGCTCAGTTAGTGGGTTTTAGAATTGGTGAAACAGGCCACCATCCAAAACTTGTTTTAGTGTTGGGCAATTATGCTGTTAGCATTATGCTACAATCATGAGCAATTATGCTAGGGATTCCAATGACTTATTACAGTTCTTTTGTACTAGAAGATGAAATACCATCTATGGATGGATGGATAGACAAATAGATTAACAGATATCAGGATAGACAGACCCTGACAATGAGAACACAGTAGGAGAGATCTATTGTCACATACCTGTTTTCCCACATAAGTTGTTAAAGGTTCTTGAAAATGGATAGCTCATTGCAAGCATTGGCGTCACCAGGATCAGGGAGGTGGACTGTAAGAGAGAACATTCCTTTCTGTCAAAAGCCTAGGACTTTCTTTGTAGCCACATTGCAGTGAAAAAATAAAAGTTTACAATAAACTGTTGTTCAGTAGTACAAGCAGGCAATCCACAGAGGGACAAATTACATGTTTGTGAGGCATCAAGTTCACACATTTGCATGTTTATGATGGCAATGAAGGTGATCAACTTTAAAAGAAACTACAGGACACAAACAGCCTGTCTCTAAATGTTGGCCAGGGAAGATGGCTTAGGCTCCAGAGTCTGTCATATCAGACAGTACAGAGTTCTGGTCCCTTATCTGAAGGAGTATGTCCATTAAGGTAGCCAGAAAAGCTAAGATTTATATGCTTGTGGATGGTTGTTGAAGGCTAATAGGCTGAGATAATCAGAGGCAAATTTAACTTGACACACTAGAGGGCATTGGAACACAACTTTCTACAGTCCAGATGGGAAGGAAGAAACTTTTTGCTGCTAAAATTAAGTTTCTTTTTCAGTTTTGGAGTGGTTTAGGAATTTAAGGGGATTCCTCCAAAATATGTTGAAAGTATGGAAAACACACCTTTTTCTGTTCAGTCCCTCTCTGTTCATTAGGTTGTACCATGGTGGGGGAAATTAGGCAGTTTTGTGCATTGGCACCGACATCATAAGGTGGTAGAGGAAGGTTAATGAATCATATCTAAAAATTTTGATCAAAGACTTTGATCTTGCTTTATTTATTCCTTATCAGCAGAACAGCCAAGGAAATATGCCAATTCCCACTGCCTGGGGCAGCTTCCACAGTGTCAACTAGTGTTGGAAGTGTCTGGTCCAGGAGATTTTGTCTGAAAAGGAATTCAGAATTGGGGTCCAAGACTTAACAGACTTAACAACTTGTTCTCTCTACTTCATTCTCTTGGATGTGTCCGTACAGGAGGAAATGAAGAAACTGACATGCTTAATGATAGTTGTATCAGTTATTCTGCCTTCCTTCCAGTTTCCTGGGAACAAGGAGATTTTCCCACTGTCAGAATAGCACCACAACCAGCAGATGTCATTTTCAAGCCAGAAAGAAGGAATGGCACTTTAAAAATGCATTAGGAAATGTTCCCAGACCTGGATTCCCAGGAGTAATCCTCCTGCAGAAAACGCTGGAATACTTTGAGTACCAGTTAAAAAAATTCAGATGGATGATTCTGAGGATCCTAAATGAAGAAATGTGAGGTAGAAACTGCATCTTTCCTGTCTCATCCTGACACAAGATCTGAATGTGGCAGGTGGTTGGAACATTTAAAATTTGAGCGCTGCTCTGCCTGACAAATCACAGGCTGCCTCCTCCTGGGCTTCAGCGCATTGTGTGTCCTGGAGGGGACATGCAAAGAGGTCGTTACTGGGTCCAATACTGGTTTAACATCTTCGTTAATGATAGAGATGATGGGAAAAGTGCACCTTCACCAAGTCTGCAGATGATACAAAACTGTAAGGAGCGGCTGATAGATCAGATGAGTCTGGTACACCCCCCAGTGCTGAGGGTTGTCTGACTGGAAAGGTATAAAAACAGAGCCAGACTTTTCTCACTGGTGCCCAGTGAAAGAACAAGAGGCGGTGGGAATGAAGACAGAGCCAGACTTTTCTCTTTTGTGCCCAGTGAAAGGATAAGAGGCATTGGGAACAAATAGAAATACAGGAAATCCCACTTAAAAAGAAACTTTTTCACTGTAAGGGTGGTCAAACACAGGAAAAGGCTGCACAGAGAGATTGTGGAGTCTCCATCCTTGGAGCTACTCAAAACTCAACTGGACACGGCCCTGAGCTCTCGCTGACCATGCTTTGAGTGGGAGGGCTGTACTAGGTGATCTCTAGAAGTACTTTCCTGCTTCACCAATTCTATGATCCTTGTGGAAGCTGGAGTGATTTCAGCCAATGCTGCTCCTAGCTGACAGTCCAGCCTTAATGGACTCCTTAATTCCTTTGAGGCTATGTACCTATCTGTCCTAATTATACTGGTTTTCAAGTCTGCTTCCCAGTTCTTTAGCAATACGTCTACAGACTTTTCTTAATAAACCCTGTTCAGACACCAGTATAAAACTAAGGTCTATTGTCATAGAAGAGTGATCCTAGCATTTAACACCATTTTCTTTTTCCACCCCAAGTATGAGTGGTTAGATTCTGATGCTTTCAATCCCTTACCCATCCTGGTGTGGGTTCTTTGGTGAGGGATTATGAATGCGGAAGTGTAAGTTGAAACAAGCATTTCTGTGTTAGAGTACAGAGTTATCCATCTTCATGCAGCCATCCCAGATAGAGGTATTTTATTCCCATTGCCTGAAACTTTTCTGTATTCGGTGTCTGGGACTGTGGCTTCTCTTGCGCAGAAGCAGAGATGGACAGACCTTTGCCATCAGCAGGAGGAGGATAACAAACAACTCGGTAGCCCCAACATGTCTTCAACAGGCAGACTTCTTTGTGAAGTGAATATTAGTCCATAGCCTCAGCTCTTGGCCCTCTCCTGGGGCTTTGAGACGTGTCCTGGGTCACTTTGAATCTGCCACTCATTAGGGTCAGGTTTGGTCCTTAATTATCAAACTGATGGCACATTGTGTCCATGGCCACATAGCAGCGTATGTCACTTTTAAAATTCCCCATCAGTTGTCTAGGCTGAAGAGTCCTATGTCATTCGAGCACAGCAGTCATCCCACCTCTTCAATACTTGTTCTGCTCTGCATCTTTCCACTTGGGCTCTGTCTTTTTGGAACTTAATTAAGCTCGTTTGTCCCAGCACTTTCCTGAGGCATAAATAGCTCTGCCTCCCTTTAGGCATTTGGGATGAAAGGCCTATGGTGTCATGAGATGTGTGGAGGTGAAGGAGGCATGGAGAGAGGAACCAGGAGCTGCTAAAGATTAGGAGGTGTGAAGGGAGCAGATACGTGGCTGGCACAAGACAGTCTAGCTCCATGGCTGCTCTGTAGCTTATAGCAGCTGGGCCCTGGTTTACCCTTTTCAAACACCTATGTAGCATTTTTTTTCAGAGTTTTTATCTCTGGACCACAAATTGAAATGGAAGAAATTCCATTTAATCATAAGAAAAAGCTTTTTTTTTTTATGCTGAGGGTGGCAAAACACCACATTTTGTCCAAAGAGTTAGTGGATTCCCCAGCTTTAGAGATACTGAAAACCTGATCGGACAATGTCCTTAGAAACCTGCTGTAGTTTACCTTGCTTTGAGCAGTAGGGTTTGGACTAGATGATCTCCAGAGGTTCCTTCCAACCTCAACTGTTTCATGATTCTGTGACATGTCTTTTCAGTAGGAACACTGCCTGCATTTCTGTCCTAATTGTTTTCCTTAGCAGTCATTTTCCTGAGACACTGTGCAAACTTTATTTTTTCTTTTACAGATGGCAGTGGAACTGTTTTCCCCCTTTAATGTGGACACCTGTTCCGAGGAGAGGCATTTCCAGATGCCCATTCAAGCTGTACTTCAGTTCAAGAAGGAGTGCAAAAATCACTGGGCCAGAGAAAGTATCTGTGGATGGAAGAGACAGAGGCATTTCCAGATGTCCATTCAAGTTGTACTTCAGTTCAAGAAGGAGTGCAAAAATCACTGGGCCAGAGAAAGTATCTGTGGATGGAAGAGAAGCCCTCCAGGATCTTCCTTAAGAATCCAGTCCCTGTTTGCAACGTTATTTCTTTTTTTTTTTTTTTGGCACTGAATGTTTTTGGTTAAATGCAGGAATTTGCTGGGTATCGGACCCAAGTTTCTCCTCTTCTGGGAGTGTGTCCAGGACAGTTAGTTCCAGAACCACATTCATTTATGTTCTGTCTTTTGCTCATTGGAATCTGTGTCTTTGCTGCACATAGACATGATTTTGACAAAAGATTCATACTTCCTCCCATTTTCCATTCCCATCAAAAAATGCAGGGTAACCTGTCTCCTTGTCTCACGAGTTCAAGTTGCAATATCTCCATCCTTTTCTGCTCATAGCTAAAGGGCATCTTTCTCTTAGGTTGTGAATAAATAATGGTGCCACTGAAATTTTCAGTTTTCTAACTTAAAGTTTCAGTTACATTTTGTGGTTTATTGTGGAATTTAGATAAAATGTCCACCAACCTCCTTCTTATTTTTTACCAATTATAGGTGAAATAATGAACCTTCAAAAAGGGGGTATATTCATATTTATGTTGTTAGTGTCTTCTATTTCTCTGACTAGTTCTAATAAATAATTCAGAATACAAAGTGCATTTGACTGAAAAGACGCTTGGAGAATGTTAGACTATTCAGCAGTAACTCTGAAATACATTCTTAAGTCAAGGTTCTAACCTTTGTTTGCTGCGAACTCCATTTGGACATTGAATTCCTCTTCAGCAGGGCTTCTTGTATCTATTTATTTTAAAAAAATCAATCAGTAAATATAGCAATTATGTTCAAATTCCAACAATATTTTCACATAATATAAGAAATAGTTTGAATTCTTACCCTCTTGTCCCAGAGAGTCCCAAACACCAAAATGAATAATCCCTAGGAGACAGATAATTACATGGAGTTTGATGACACCAACCTTTTAATTGCAGTAAAATTAAACATTGTCCATGTTGACTATTTGAACTATTTGAGAGAGTGCATTTTTCTAACTGCATCTCACATAATGGACTGCTGATGTGGCAGGAGTTCTCCAGGCCTGGCCTATTTAAACCGGGTGTATATCTGATCTACAAAAGTGACAGGGATAGTTTGCAAGCACTAAACGTATTTGGAAGAATGGACCTTTGTGTATGGAAGACACACCCTGCCTATGCTCCCCAGATAAGCTTACAGGCTCACAATATAAAAGGCAAGTGATTTTGGTCTGAAGCGTACAATTTTGAGGCCATACTTAAGACACAGATTAGACATAACTATTGTGTCCTTAAGAAATCCCTTTGTATTGGCATCCTACTGGCCACCTAAATATGTTGTAAAAATCATACTAACTGAAAACGCTCAATCGTGTATTTTGGTCAGTTCCTCTCTTTATTAGTAGTACTACTTAGCTGTTCTTGGTGACTTTCATGTTGTTTATACTCCCCCATTACTTGAATCCACAAGAGCACAATATGATGCCTCCAGATGCAAAATAAAAGAGACCAGACATGATGAAGCTTGTCCGCCTGAACACAATAGGGCTATTTTCCTGCTCTTCAAGAATGAAGTTCTTCCCAAAGCTACTGGCAAAACTGGAAGCTATCTTTATGTCAGCTTTATCTATAAGGCACATCTGTTAAGGCAGCTAGGAATATGAAATACTGCTGGATTCCTGGAATGAGTTTCCCAAAGAGTCCTTTGGGAATAAGGATGTGTAAGGCAAACCTGAGCTTTCCCAAGCTGTTTTTATTCCCCCTCCAGGCACAGCACTGCAAGAACGTCACTATGTTCATGGTCACAGAGGAAACAAAACCATACATGTGTGTAACTCACCTGCAAAGTATTGAGCAGAGCAAATAGGATGTGGAAAGCTCGATGGCTGTTTTTGATGATGGTGGCAAGGCCAAATCCCCAGGTGAGGCCTAACAGTGGTGTCAAGATGGCCACACTTTTGCCAATTTGAAACAAAGAGTTCCTTTCCTGCCTGTTTGACCTATCCCCAATAGTTGGCCTCAGTATTTTTATTATAACAATTGCAGTGATGAATAAATTCATGGCCACAATTATCAGGGCAGGTATGACGAATGCCAAGAGAGCTTTGCTGTCCTTCCAGTTGAGCCAGCAGACATCCTTTCTGGTGTAATTGTTCCTTGGCAGTGTGACAGCAATGGTGATGACTGCAATGACAAAGGGGCACCCATATCCCAGACAGAATGCCACTGCTTTCTGAGCGGTCTTGCTTGTGTTATGTAAGATGAACACCAGTCTGTAGAAAAGAATGAGGCCCAGGCTGAGCATCCAGAAAAAGACACACAGGTAGAATAAATGGATGAAGAAGGTGGCGACAAAACAGATACCTCTGCTTATCTGTTGGTTTTGGTCATTGATGGAGGCAGTGACAATGAACCAAATGTCAGCAATCAGGAGCGATGTAGCTATGTTGAGTATACAGACATGGCGCATATAGGAGGTTGTGTTGTTTGTCACGTATTTCCAGACTAAGGATTCAATTATAATGCAGACCACCAAACTCAAGATTGAAATGGCCAGGCCAATGTAGGTAATATAATCTAAGATTACCTGGGAGGATTTATCAGGTGACATCAGAATGGAGAATGATGTCAAGTGATTGCAGGAGCAAATGACATGTTCATCTACCTCTGTGGGTCTGCAACCACGAGTATCCCAGCCACCCCCATGTATGTTGAGTGTGAAGTTCCAAAAGACACACTGGGGCATCTTTAGAGATAAGTTTTTCTTTGCAAAGGTCATATTAATATTGAACTTCTCGCTTCTGTTGCTGCTCACAGTTGTTGTTATCAGTAAGCCGTTCACATAGGCAGACTCATTCTGGGGCAAAATTTGTCCAAGTTTTGAGTACATCACACTGACGATCGTTGAATTTTGTGTTAGAGTATGAATTTCAGCTTCACCAATGAGCACATTAACGGTGAGGTTTTCTGTACTGCTGAAGTTTTTCTTATAATCCATGTTATTTTCTGTGACAACTATACCTTGTAGCTGAAGGGTGTTTGCAAAGACAAGAGGAATGGTATTATTAACTGGTTGGAGGCGCAGGGAAAAATTTTCTACCGAATGCAGTAACGAAGAACTTTTGATTATCTTGTCTTTATTCAGGTCTTCCCAAGCTTTAGCTGTGGAATCAGCAACAATGAAGTCCACTGTGGAGAGGAAATTCTGGAACAACAACAGAATAATGCTGTTACTGAAATCTCATTCAAATCATTGTTGTTTCTGATGGTAATTTCTGCGTGGTCCTAGAATTGCCTTTTGAAGAAAGCCCAGTATTTTCTTATTTTGTTCAATCCATGTGAAACCTTCAGTTGTTAACCCTCTGCATGCCCTATTTTCAAGTCAAAGTTTCCAAAAGAGGAGCTGTGTGGCTTTTTGTTACATATTAGTATTTTTTCTTCTCCTTATATCTAATATAAATCTCTCCTTCAGCTTAAGGCCATTACCCCTTGTCCTATCACTCCATGCCCTTGTAAACAGTCCCTCTCCAGATTTCCTGTAGGCCCCTTCAGGTACTGGAAGGTGCTATAAGGTCTCCCCGGAGCCTTCTCTTCTTCAGGCTGCACAACGCCAACTGTCTCAGCCTGTCCTCATAGGAGAGGTGCTCCAGCCCTCTGATTGTCTTTGTGCCCTACTCTGGACTCGCTCCAACAGCTCCATGTCTCTCTTGTACTGGGGACCCCAGAGCTGGATGCAGTACTCCAGGTGGGGCCTGACAAGAGTGGAGCAGAGGGGGAGAATCCCCTCCCTCAGACTGTTGGTCGTGCTGCTTTTGATGCAGCCCAGGATATGGTTGGTTTTCTGGGCTGCAAGTGCACACTGCTGGGTCATGTCCAATTTTTCATTCATCATTTCTTGTCCTTTCCTCTAACTTAGAATGCTAGAGACATTTATGGGTGCCTAGAGGATTTCTAGTTGCTAAGCATACAGCAGTCTCTCTTTTATGCACAGGCTCCTTGTCTTCATCAATTTGACTTTTCATAAACTTTTTTATATCTTTGCTGTCTTTTCATCTTTGATGTCATTTCATCTCATTCCCTTAATACCTTCCTGTTCCTGACCCTAACTGTGAAATTTTTTCAGGGAGAATGTCATCTTCTGTGGCAAAAGGGGCCAAAGGGCTTGGTAAGTATAGATAAGACTTAAAATAAAACCTTACTTGAACAGTGAGCTTCTCTGCATCTGCTGGGATAGAGGAGATCATACCCAGGATGGTAATGATTGCACCTAGGTTTGCAGGAGAACTGTTTATTGTGTTTTGCTCCTTTTCTGTCTTTTCCTTAAGCTCTGCAAGGTAGTTAGGTAGGGTTGCTTTTGCGTCAGGACTGTTGACCAAGGACTGGAACAGAAGATAACAGTAGATTACACGTGTGCAAGTTGCCTAGAGCTTGGTCCTCCTTCATAATGGCTACCCTTATACTAGTAAAATAAACGGAGCCAAGGTCATTCTAGACATGCTGGTAGCGTTCAACTCTCTGACTCTCCAGAACAGGGTATCCTAACTGCCTACTGAGAGTGGTCTCTCGTCTGTGCTAACTCGCAGACTGCTCCTGGAAATTTCAGGGGGAAAAAATAGTTGGCCTGGGCCCAGACCATATGAGGGAGTAAGCCAGCAAGTTAATAAAATACATAATTGAGTAGCTGTACCACTGCCTGGGGCCTTGCTGTGCCTGATTTACTAAAATAAACATAGTATTTGATGAAAGATGATTGTTCTCATCTAACCTCACCCTAAGAGGAGGGTGACTCTGGATGGTTTGTAGAAGTGAAGAGCACTATGATGGGATACCTAGGCTGAAAGCCGAGGCCCTGTGAAGTGTCATGGCTGGGGTCACGCTAAACGTCCTGGGGTCTGAGGTTGGACAGTGGCCCAGAGCTGTCCCTGCTGTGTCTGTAGCGTGCTTTGGGTTTGTGCCACTAGTGTTCACCAAGGCAATGCCTGAGCACGGTTCAGGGAACACCCCGGGCCAGCGACTGTTCCCGCTGGACGCTGTGAATAAGGTCACCTTGTCTGGGGGAGAGAGTGTTCATGTGTGCGGATGTTAGCCATGCGGTGCCACATGCCCGCTGGGCCAGAGAAGGGGACGTAGCCTCTTTCACTGACTTGTGTAGCTATAGTCAATCATTCTTTATATCTTTTAAAGGATATTTTTAATTAAATATTTGATTTTTTAATGCTTCATATATTTTAGATTATTTTAAGCAAAAAACACTCAACAAAAGTTTTTGTTCTGTCCTACCCGCCCTCCTGCCCCAACCTCTAGAAAACTCATAAATGTTACCTCGGCATTAGTCAGGAGGTTGCTTATTGGTACAGACAGGCAGTCATTCCTTTCAACCTTCCATGATTTGTTGGAGCACTTGTAAGTTTTATTGCCTCGGGTAAAATAATCTGGATTATTTAATTCCTGGCATCGTTTTACTAATATGTCCTCTTCTCTTCCAATGCCAATGCTGTCTGAGCAGGAAACGTCCTTATCTGTATGGACAAAAAGACATAGAGGTGGAAAACTAACACAGAGAGAGATGAGTAATTTACCCCCATCAAACCTGTGATCTCCTGAAGTTCAGAGGTCTTTTAATTAGTTAGGATTTCAGCTTGCTCTCTTCATTAATTATGACCTTTCAGGTTGTATATGTCTTACATTCCCAATTTTTTGGAATCGTGAAATTAAAAAGGAAATTGAATAAAGCCCCTTGTTTTTGAGTACCGAATCAAACCAACAAACAAATACCCAAAGTTTTAGGATTTGTCTGTTAGATTACAGGGTTAGATAGAGGTGAAGTGGGATTATATTGAACAGTAATTCGCACAAAGTTTATTCTTGTAAAGGATTCGGTGCTGCTGTAGCACTAATAGGGAATGCATTAAGACTTGGATAGTGAGGCCTCATCCTTTTTGATGAACAGCGAGTCTTGCTAATTGGCTTTGATTGGGTTAGTCATATCAGTAAGTATCTGATGACTAAAATATATAAAGCGTCTGCATATTTATTGCCTAAAAGAGAGTGAAATCTGGCCAGATACAGTGATTCAACAGTAGGCACGACTACTGTAGAAAAAAGAACACTTCTGCAATATGGGGATGTTCAACATTTCTTTGTTTCCAATTTAGAATAAGAAGCTGAAATATCCAAACTCTGGTCAGAACTAAACATCAAAACTGGATTTAGCAATGTTGAATTCTAATTACCCAGCATGTCCTGCAGAGCTGACTGGAAGCTGGGTCTGCCCTGTTCTCTGTAACACCTCATGGAGGTTGCCATTCTTGTGTTTAAAGTGGATATGTTCTCCCACAGGCTGACCTCCCAAGCTAGATGACTTCTTCCTGATGCACCACAATCTTTTATCCTTGCTAAATTGTTGGTGCAAGCTGGGAGCTGCATGACCACATTTCAACACAGGAAATGAAGCTCGGTGGTGCAGGTAGGGACAGAAGATGACTAAACTATAACTGCTTGGGAACACACTGGAGCCACTGTCAAATACAGTGAAGATAAAACATCTCATCTATTTATTTTTTAAAATTTTAGCCAAATTGATATTTTCCTCGGTATTTCAAAATTTCCCATCAAAAAAGGAGACAATAATTCTTGGCTAACAAAACCTGCCCCTGTTAGGTGTCACCAGTGATAAATTTGTGGCATCTGATTTAACAAAGATATGTGGATTTCCTCTTTAACAGCTTTAAATAGTAACTTCTTTCTTACCAGGTATCAAGTTCAGTCTTATTCTTTCACTGTTGACTTCCTGTCCAATGCGGTTAATAAACTTGCAATATACTGTGATCTCTTTCTTTGTGTTGCATTCTGTTTCTGTGTAATTGTACATGTAGCAAAACAAATTTCCTGTTTTCTTTTTCCCTGTATGGAAGGATTAAGACAGGTTAACACAGAGTTGGGGGTCAATCGGCTAGCAGACAGCAGAAAGCTTCTGCAAAACTTCCTTTTCTGTGGGTCCTTGAGAAAAAAAAACTTTGATGAAAAACTTCCTTTCTGTATGCTGATCTCTGTCTCTTACTGCTTATTAACTCTCCTGGCAGCTGCTGCATAATCAGTACGTTTTCAATTACTGGTGTATGAGCAAATCCTGAAACCTTTTACCGAGCAGAAACCAAAATTTGCTTTAGAAACCATTTTGGAGAATACTCTTCCTGCTCCTTCTTCTACCACAGGTGTTTCATTTAGCCTAGGATACTTTTTTGCTGTCCTTACATGGTTCTTGGAACTCAGGATCTGTACCACACTCCCATTGCTTTTGAGTATGCCTGTGCCTGAGGGCCCCTGACTCCAATCTCTTCCAAGAAGATCTTGGCATTTTTCTTAGCAACCAAAGGACCCCTCAGTCTCCACCTGCTTTACACTTCAGCCTGGTTTTTTTGCACTCCTGCATGTTTTCTGACTTAGTTTAGGAGGGTCATCTTTGCTTTTTTCAAATGAACTGTTTTGTAACCCACTTGAAAACTTCTCGTATATAAAAACATCCCAGGGAAGCTGCAGAACTACCCTAAATTTGAAGACATGCAGAAGAAGGTTAGGCTTTTGTGCTGTTAAAGCTATGTCACCTGTATCCTTGAAGAAAATAGAATAGTTCTTTGAATAGCATTCTTAATGTGTTATTCTACATTTCTGATGAATTAGTAGATCTTCTTCTTGACTAACCTTTCCTCGATACTCAGTTCAAAAAAAATTACAAGAGTGGGAGGTAAAAGCAAATAAACAGAGTTCAGCAATTTCTGATCTGAACAATGATGAGGATACTCACTTCTTACTGCCTGGCAAGGCAAACCAAACGTTGAATTTACCTTTTACACATTTATTGCCACACCAGTGACTTCAGTGGCTCTTCTATTAATCTCAGCCACACTCCCCAGGCATGGCAACCATCCTAAAAAAAGTCCATTTCCCTTTTTTTACACTCTCAGGAGTACTTGTGGGTTGTCATAATAGCAGTAAGTATGAATTGGTTACGCGGACCTAACTGAAAACAAAAAACCCAAGGGACTGGGTTCTGACAGTGGTTCTGCAAGTTTATTGTTTCTTACCAACTTGAACTGCATTTCCTGGAACCATGAATGTGACCTTGTAATCTTCCATGGTGCTAGCATTTATGCAGCACTCAAGGGCTTGTTGCACTTTGCATAGTATAGATGCTGCAATAGGGTTTATCAGGATGTTCTGCTTCAGAGGCAAGGAAATAACCTCGATTGTCATGTTGGCAGAACTTTCCAGATGCTTCTGGGAGAATGTGCAGATGAAGGTGCCTGAAAGAAGTGACACAAAAAAGTATGTCTCAGTCAACAGAAGTGCTCTTCAGCTTTTGCATGGTCATGAGCTTTAATAGTGAACAACTATTGGCAGCATCATGTCTTGCTGTCCTTCAGCAGTTATGATCTTTTAACTTTATTTATTTACTGTGGCCAGGCTTCACAGTGATTTGCAGGGCTAGGGATGCTGTAAATGATCTGGTACGGAGATTTCATTGCCTTTGTAGCCAATACAAACCAGATTCACTCACCGCTCCAGTCCTGTGTGGCAGTCTTCACTGTGAGCACAGACGTGGCTGGAAATCTGCTATTTTTGATGCATGTATCACAGTCTACTCTTCTTGTGCTATTTCCAGACTGGATTTTCCAACTGATACTGTCATAATTGCTCACATCACTTTCACATGTTAGATTGAATGCATATCCCTCGGAAACTGATGAGTTTGTGCTTGAAGATATTGTTACATGGGCTGAGACAACACAAGAGAAATGCCATATTATTGAGAGTCACTTGTTATAATCATTTGTTTGCAAATGACGTGCCACAGAGGCCACCTACACGTTAAAGAGCTGATGGTCTGTTACATATTACCTGACTCTTACCTGTCCGGAGGTACGTCACTCTGATGTTTTGACTGCGCCTGGCACCGTGTCCAGTCTGTAGCTCACATGTATATGTTGTCACTGTACCTGACTTCTCAGGTGGGCATAGCGATTCATTGATGTTGAGCTTGTATTCAGTGCAGTTTGCACTGAAACTGGAGACTCCTAGAGAGAAATAAACATTCCTTGAAGGGCTATGGATGTCCGAAAATACCTGGGCTCTGGAAATCACAAGCATTTGCTCTAGCTAAGGAAAACCTTGTGGGTTTGTATGTAATCTTTGACAGCGTGGCACTTTTAACTTATTATTGCTGAAGTTCATTTGCATATTTTATTCTGGCAACACTTGCAGTAGTCTTCCAAAGGCCTGAAGACAGCTCTCAGCACAGTGCTGGGCACCTTGCTGCCAAAACCAGTCTAACTGAGAGCAACAACATTACCTCAGGATAAGCCAAAATGAATAATATTCTGGTTCAGCCTAACCTCATTATCCGCGATATTTAGGATGAGTAAGATAAGTAAAACAGGAGTAAATACTGCAGATTTTAATGTCATCTTATTTTGAAATAAACATTTGGAGGTATTTGTCATTCAACTTTAAACCTGAAGAGTGCAGGTTTAGCTATAAGGGGAAAACTTGTCCCAAGCTGGAGCTGAAAGTGAAAGAAATTCTGCTGTCTGGCATGAGAGAAGGGGGAAAAGCCTTTCTGGCTGGGGGGAAAGCCTGGCCACAGGGAATCAAGGGCAGCACAGCTCATTACAGCAGGCCAGGATCACCCCTCTCTCTGCAAGCACTGCCCACCAATACCTGTCCTCCGTGCACATGAGCTTTGAAGGTTTTCTCTCATTTTGCTGTCCTGCTTTCTGCTAAATTTCATTTGTAACAAGTGGTTAACAACAGTTAGCCCATACCCATAAAACATTAAGAGAGCAATAGGCTGTTTATGACTATGGTTCATAGACATTTATGAGTGTTTCTATTGATGTTGCTTTTAACTCTTTGTAACACATTTACTTGGTGCTTTGTTAACTCTTTGTATTCATATTATAAGTAAAATCTTGTGGGATGCCACTGACTCACTGGCATGTGATGTATTACAGCTACAGGTGGAGAGGGAAACTGTGTGCTCAGTATTTAGCCATGCTGCAGCTGTTTCAAAGTGTAGCACCTGCCTCTCTGGGTTGCCAAATCTCAATCTGAGGTACACAGAAGCTTTTCATACCCCGAGGGTGATTCTGGAGATAGTAGTAGAGACTGATGCACTCATCCTTGCTCTCAAAACTAGACAATATAGGAGGAAGCTTTTTGGGAAAAGTTGGTATGATGCCGGTCCAGGCAGCTGTTTCCATCCAGGATGGCACAGTTTTAAGTATCAATGTCTGCACTACGCATGGAAATGCCCAGAATCCCACTGGCACCTGCACAACACTTATGGAGTCTGTACCACGCTGTAAATCCATCATCCTTCCCACACACAAACCTTTGGAGCATACCCTGTATTCATCCTAGGAGTCGGCCTTCAGGGTGGCCAGTTAGGAGGAGATCTTTGAAGAACAAACAAACCTAGCAGGTGAAAGACAGTATTTTTTTTAATCTTACCTGTAATATTGATTGCTCCATTTACCTTCCAGTCACCAGTAAGTGATGGTAAGTGTCTGTCAATGCAACAGGACAGCAGAGGACTGTTTGTCTGCATTTCAGGACTGTTGCATGTAACATCGGTGTCGTTTAAGTTCGCAGTGATGTGTAACGGAAAGACTTTTACTGGTTTTGTGGCCTTGTATATCAGTCTGTGAGACGAATCGCTCTTTGTGAAAATGCAACTATAGGTACCTGTAAAGCATAGGCAATATCTTAGCATTGAGAACACATTTTGCTGGTTTTTCCTCTACACTTGGAGTTAGGAGCTGGGACCTACTTCTACACCTATTTTTCACATCTCCCTGCTCTGCAGGGGCTCTGCTACTTGCTAATAAAATTGTACCCTCAGGTCATCTGCAGTGTGCTTTCTGCAGACTCCTGGTGCCAAATGTATCTGCATTAGGGAGCTTCAGTGTTGATGGGTACTTGAGAAGAGACCAGTGCTCAGGGACTGAACTACTTAAAATCTGGCTGAGTTGGTGTTTTTGGGATCTGTATATTGCCCATAGTCCACGTGGCAGCAATATGTCATGGTAAGAGTGTAGACTGACTGTGCCAAAGGTTCCTACACAGAATGGGTAAGAGATAGGGCCCCAGGGTGGACTCCACAAGAGCTGGCACTCCGCGTTTAGGTACATACACTTGCTCGGAAGGTATTTGCAAAGTGGTATTTATCAGCTGCTTTCTCAGGCACTTGTCCCCTGGATGCAGCCAGGCTTCCTTTTGAAATTGGTAATCAATCAGAACTCCAAACTTCCTTCATACTTGTGGTAGGTGTGTTCTCCTTCCCCATTGGAATAGCCAAGTGAGTAGGCCACTTTCATAGGAGTGGAGACACCAAGGTTCAGGGCATCCTTAGCCCAAAGAAGTCCTACCTCCCATAAGCGTGCCCAAATACCTGGTCACAGGCCACCCTTTTTGAAGTTGAATGTAAAATTCATAGTCCAAAGAGAAAAACTGAATGGGAGCTTGAGTGAAAGCTCTCATAATATATGATAACTCTCCTGATAATTCCTCCCAGCAAAATGTCACCAATTTACCCGTTTCTGATTTTCAAAAAGCCCTAAGCATGAACACATGAAAAACTGTAGCTCTGAGCTCTATTTAGGTAGGTTATGTTTGCAAGGGGGGGCAAGGGCCATCAAGGACAAGTTCAAGCACAGCCTAAAGTTCCCCCACCAAAAGGGGGTGAAGGCCTCACAGCCATGTAGTCACTGCTGTCTCCTGTGATATGGCAGTGAGGGCCGGCACTGAGAATACCCAGGCCTGTATCGTCACTTCAGTCAGTTCACATTTTACTATGCCAGTCAGAGCATAGTTCATTGTAGGAAAAAAACCCCAAAACCAACCAAACAAAACAAAAAACCCCACAGGAAAATTATGAAGGACAGTGTATTTTTCACATTTACTCTAGGAAAATGCAGTCACTGCATTTGTCTTTGCTTTTTATAGAATGAGACACACTAGAGAGATACATCTGCTGTTTTAACAGTAGAAAATCGTACCATAATCCTCCTTTGTAATGTTGATAATTTTAAGAGTCGAAATCGTCCTTGAAATGGTTCTTGTAATTTTTCTCTCTATTGAATACCGGAAGCTGGTTGAGATGATCTGATCGAAGTGATACCAGGTCACATTGTCAGATGTTGAATTTATCTCACAAGTCAGTTTTACTGTATCCCCTTCAGAAATGTCTACAGGACTCACAGTGAAGTTTGTCTGATCTGGGAAGACAAGGAGCAACATTCTGCATTATTGTCATTTCAGCTCATGTCTATATGGTGTCTTTCATCTCATGGGAATCCTAGGTGCTTCACAACTAATATGCACTCAGCATCAGTTGCAGGGTACTCTGATTAAAGCTTTGCAATTTTCCCACAACATACTCTTCTACTATCTTTGTCCACCAAAGATCTCAGAAGGTTTTATGCAGAGAGCCAGAAATATTATCACCACCACTACCTTCTAAGTAGATAAACCAGGAGAAGAAGCAACCAGGTTGAAGTAATCCTCTGAGACGGTCCAGCGCTCAATGTGCTGAGTACAGCAGCTCTGGGGCACTTGATCAGACAGCCGAATTGTAACACGCTGCCTAGCAGCAGTGTGGCAAATGTGCCAGGGAAGCCGGGGGGAACCTGTTCTCATGTAAACTGCAAGAGGTTATTTTGTTTTCTTTGAAGAAGCAGGAAGTGCTGGCAGCCTGATACTCTAAGAGTTGTCTCAGTTCTGGAGGTGAACTTAAGGGTATTCAATCTCTCTCCCGTGGGAAGACTGCATCAGGGTCCAGTGGATTAGCTGGAAGGATTTGGTTTTCCGTGGGAGGTACTGCCTGCATGGTCATCTCAGGTAAGTCCTAAGCTTTGGTGGCACAGGATGAAATGAAATAGCCAGAGAAATAAATGTTTTTTGAACGTCCAGCACCAAATAACAGTATAAGGCAGCTACATGGTTCAGGCTAGAAATACTAAAGTAAAGGTTGAAGGAAAATACTGAGGGAGCTTTAAACTTACTAGTTATTTCTGTTGTGAAGGTAGTTGGGTTTAGCTGGTACACTGCAGGTAGAAATTGTGGTACCATTTTGTTGGCACTTGCTATCTGATCGAAGCTTGCTGCTCCTGCTTTTACTTCATAGTTCACAAAAACACTTCCAGGCCTAAACAGATACAAGAATGAGAGAAGCACCAGAACTAAATATCCTTACATATTAGTGGTTTTCTATGTTGTGGTGACCCATCTTGCATGGCTAGGAAGGCTTCACAGGGCTCACCTGTGAAGGCTCCTCTTGTGACTCAAGGCTTGCTCTGGTATACAAGAAGGTTGTGCTACAGGTCTTCCCAAAGTAAGAACACCTTCATGTGACATCTATCTATCTATATCTCCTTCGTCTGCTATTTCTAGTTAACTGCCCTTAGAAAACCTAAAATACAGCTGCATTTAAATATGGGTGGACTTGAGTAATGTCTCTTCTATCCAGATCCAGTGTTATATCCAGAGTCAATGTACTAATGCATCTTCCTGATGACCTAGGAAATGATGTTAGGTTTACTCACATCCTTTCCCCTTTTGGGTGGAATTCAGTCTTTCCCACAAAAGGCTTTGATCCAGATGGAGAATGATTATGTTTCTTGGACTTCTGCACAGTAGTGAATTTTACCCGCAGTCCTATTTCCATGCTAATAGTTGAGTTTTCATTTGCAGCTATTATACTGTTATTCTGTATGCATATCCTGGGCACGGGTTCTCGCCAGAGTGAGTGTAGTCTTTGCTGACAGGTGTCTCCTTGAGACTGGACAGAAAGATTTGTGTGTTCCAGGAAAAAATGAAATTGTTTACTTACCTGAAACCAGTTACTGTTCCCGATACAAAGCCTGGTAAACACTTGTAGCTATCATTAAACTGTGAACAAAGACATATTACATGACATAAGTCTTCTGTATATTACTCTAGCATGCTTAAAATAGGAAACTCTCCATTCAACATTGATGTGAGTAAAGGTATGTAGCATATCTGATAGAACGGGCCCGTACTCTCCCCACTGTCATGGGATAAACTTGTGCTGATGGTTTCATTATATGTGTGCTCACATGGATTTAAGCTGGGACCAATAATGTGATTTTCTTTTTCATACTTTTGATGCAAAAGATTCCTAAATACTTCCTTGTTGGCCAGCATATTAAAATGAATGGGAATATTGTTACTGCCTTTCAATGAAGGTCAGCTTTGGCCCACTTTGTAGCTACCACTGCTGCACACTTCACAGCTCCCCACAGAGACAGTACACCCTATTTCCCAGACCCCTAGGGTAAATACCATATTTCTTAGAGGGTTTTCTACCTTCAGAGATGGAAAACTAAAGTTATTACCGCTTTTTCAATGTCAGCTTTGTATTTTTTGTATTGTTCAGAAGAAGAATTCCTGAGATCATCCGAAAAGTCTGTGTCGAGTCTGACTGACATATTCATTACAATGGGCTCTCCGATAGCACATAAGTCTGCAAGGAAAAACATAAAAATACATGTAAAAATAATCAAAAGCAATGCTTACAAAGTGATCAGTCAGCTTTTTCTTCTAAATCTTAGAATCTTGTTAGAATCATGTAATGGTTTGGGTTGGAAGGGACCTTTAAAGATCATCCAGTTCAACCCCCCTGCCATGGGCAGGGACAACCTCAAAGCCCCATCCAACCTGGCCTTGAACACTGCCAGGGATGGGGCATCCACAGCTTCTCTGGGCAACCTGTGCCAGTGCCTCACCACCCTCACAGAGAAGAATTTCTTCTTAATATCTAATCTGTATCATCTACCCTCTTTCAGCTTATCCTGTCACTCCATGCCCTTGTAAACAGTCCCTCTCCAGCTTTCCTGTAGGCCCCTTTAGGGAGGAGCATTGTACCCAGGGCCCTGGACTTCTAAGGTGTGTGCAGCTTCCACATGGAAGAGATACTAGCTCTAGTCCTGGCAATAGTATAGCAGTATTGGTATGGAGCTGCCCTGTGATAAAAGCATTGCCTCTAAGCAGAGTTGATTAGAATGGGCATGCTGACAGCAGTGGACTGCTTCCAGCTCTAGGGCTGCCTCTGGGTAGCTCTGCATGCTGCTCCATCACAAATCAGAGGCAGAGCCTCATAGGGGTTTGTCTTGGATTGCAGAGAAAACAGGTCCTCACCCCAGTGCTGCCAAGCCTAAGTGTCCAGTCATCTGGTTCCTAAAAACTCATGGGCACCTTGTCACGAGAGCCATGAAATAAAACCAAACAGAAGATACATGCTCGGTTTTTTTGTTCCTTCTCTTCTCCTGAGCACTGTGGCACACTTTGGTCACATTTATAAGTTCCTCTGTTGAAAATCTGATGAGATGAAACTTTCTTTGCTTAGGGAAGCTGAAAGTCCCAAAGAGGCACCTGAGTGATTCCAGGAGCTGGGGCTCCAGTATGGCACTAAATATCTGCAAGTACTTGGGTCAAAGGGGACCCACATCACAAAGACAAGAGCTCTAGACCATCCCTACAGACTTTCCACATTCATAGGCAATGTCGTAGCCAGCTCAGTCCTGACGTGCTGCTTTCTCACACCTATAACACTATTCCATCTTCTAACCAGTTGTACGATGATGAAGTTCGGTACTGTTTCTCCTTACCTTCAGTCTGAGGCTCACAGTAAGGCCCGTAGAAAGGCATTTCCTTCATGTAGCCACAGAGCAGGGCAGGTGCTGGGCTGGCAGAAGGGCAGGTTATCAAGTCACTGCACACCGCATTTGGCCAGGCGTATCCATTTTCACAAAAACAACAGCTATTGTTCTCACCACTGGGCAGACAGACTAATGTCAGACAAACAGAGAAATACTGTAAGAATGGTAAACAGGGCAGAACTTATTGCACGATATATATTTACCCTGCTGTATCTTTATGATCTCAACTAAATATTGCCCTTCTTGTGAGTTCGCTTGAATGATGCAAACATGATGATCTGACACCGTGCAAATCTGACTATACTAATTATAAATTACTAACCAGAAATGGGAAACAGACTGGTACAGGGATAAGTCTGATCAATTACTTTTAAGTAATTGAATGGAGATGTGAAGCCTCATACTAAAAATTTACCTGGCATTTTGGCCAGGATTCTGTGATAGTTTTCAGATTGGATATTTCTATATTGCCGGGGCTGAAAGCAAATGTATAGGCTTTTAAAGCTTTTAAGAGCACGTAATGGTCATTCAAAGTCGCAGTGGCTACTGAGGTCCTGTGCCATTCTGACTGTATCCTGACAGACGCTGCATGAGACAAGGTGACTTTATCGCAAAGCGCTTTAAAGACATACATTCTCTCCAATAAAAAAAAACAAACCCAAACCACAAAACACTTCACTGTAAGTTTTTCTGCTCTTAATCTGGCATTGGCAAAGTGAGATATTAACAAAGTGATTTTCACACATTTCATGTGACCCTGAAGGCCTTTAAAAGATCCATTTGCGTGTTGTTTTGAGAACCGATGAACATTTCCTTTCACTGCTTTATGGACCAGTGATAAGAAGGTACCAAATCTCCTCCTCTACTGTTGTAAATGCTTGGTGTGTTTGTATGTCCTCCGCTGTATTAGTTACTTGGATGTGATGTTGCAGAACAATTCATGTAATAAAACCTTTCTGCTATCTTGCCCTGTAAGAATATGTTTACTGAATTATATGAAGAAAAAACTGTGTCTCATGCAGCTTGTATCTATCAGGGTCAGAGTACAGCCTCTTACATTGATTTACATTCCAAACGCAAGTGGAGGGAAATAAACAGTCCGATAACTGCTGTCGCAGTTTCCTGAAACTTGAAAGTAACTCAGGCTGCTTGTTAGTCAAACTAGAACAAAATCCTTTAGCTCAGGCTTCCTCTGACTTTGTCCCTTCCTTAGGAAAAGCAAAGTGTTCAGGGCTATTGCTAATGCCAACGTTATACAAAGAGGAGTGGTGGGATGCAGAGAACAAAACATGCCGTTGTGTGCTAAAGCGTCAGTCTTGTTGGGTCTTTCGGCAGGCAGCAGAGACAGTTCGGTTTGGCTGATTTCTGAGTGTGATGGATGGTGAAACTGGGAGAGATCACATACTGGCAAGAAAGCACATCACTCAGAATATAAAAATAAATAACCAACCCACCTGTTGTAATGTTGATGCTTGAAACTGTCATTTCTACATTTGAAATATTTGTTGAAATAGGAAGATTAAGGTTTTTGAAATACTCTTTGATTGGCTCCAGAAAAGATGAATCCATAAGGCTTACTTCAATGTCAACAGTGTGCTCCGGAGGGGGAAAGTCAAAAGTAAGTACTGAAAGAGAAATAGCATGAGACTGCAAAGCTGTGTGTGAAGGTAAATCACAAATTAATGGCTTCCGGTTCGGCATTTGGGCTCTTTGTTGCTATTTAATGGTAGCTTAGTGTGGCATTCTGCTTAAGAAATCTTCTTGCTTCCTACTCAGCAGATATTCTGCATGTGTTTTATCTGCTGCTTCTCTGACAAAGGCAGATTTCTTTGGTCTCAGAGCAATATGAAGATGATATAAATAGCATAATACATACAGAGAAAAGCCGACTAATCCCTTCTCTCCTTTGACTCAGCAAGTGGATGGTTTGTCAACCATAGTCTGAAGGCATACAGGATTATCTTGTGACCCCTGTCCTGCTAAAGGCCTCGGGGGTTTTTCTACACCATGTATTTTAACTTGCATAGAAGCTGTGATCATGTATGTCATCATATGGATGCCATCCACAGGGACCTGGACAAGCTTACGAAGTGGGCCCATGTGAACCTCATGAAGTTCAACAATGCCAAGTGCAGGGTGCTGCACGATTCGGGGCAGCCCCTGGTATCAATACAGGCTGGGGGATGAAGGGATTGAGAGAAGGGAGAAGGACTTGGGGGTACTGGTGGATGAAAAGCTGGACATGAGCCGGCATTTTGTGGGCTTGCAGCCCAGAAAGCCAACTGTATCCTGGGCTGCAACAAAAGAAGCATGACCAGCAGGTTGGGCTTGTTCATCCTGGAGAAGAGAAGGCTCTCGGGAGACCTTAGAGCAGCCTTCCAGTACCTAAGTGGGCGCTTGTAAGAAAGATGGAGACAAACATTTTAGCAGGGCTTGGAGCGATAGGACAAGGGGTTTTAAACTAAAAGAGGGTTGATTTAGACTAGATATAAGGAAGCAATTTTTTACAATGAGGGTGGTGAAACACTGGCACGGGTTGCCGAGAGAGATGGTAGATGCCCCATCCCTGGAAACTTTCAAGGTCAGATTGGATGGGGCTCTGAGCAACCTGATCTCATTGAAGATATCCATGCTCATTGCAGGGGTGCTGGAACTAAATGACCTTTAAAGGTCCCTCCCAACCCAAACTATTCTGTGATTCTATGGTTCTATGGCAATCTCTGGCCAGACAAAAGGTTCCACGTCTTTTGTTTGTGCCTTTGCTTCTGTACTGGTTTTTACTGGGGTAAAGTTACATTGCTTCATAGTAGCTTGTATGGGGCTACGCTTTGGATTTGTGATTAAAACAGTGTTGATAATACAGAGCTGTTTTAGCTACTGCTGAGCAGTGCTTACATAGAGCCAAGGTCTTTTCTGCTTCTCACCCCACCCCATCAGCGAGTAGCCTGGAGGTGCACAATAAGGGGGACACAGCCGGGACAGCTGACCCCAACTGACCGATATGATGTCACACACCATATGACCTGGAGCATGACACCCACACCATATGACATCATGGTCAGCAATAAAAGCTAGGGGAAGAAGAAGGAAGGGGGCAACCTTTGAAGTGATGGCATTTGTCTTCCCAAGTAACCATTATGTGTGATGGAGCCCTGCTTTCCTGGAGATGGCCGAAGACCTGCCTGCCCATGGGAAAAGCTGAATGAATCCCTTGGTTTGCTTTACTGATTAAACTGTCTTTATCTCAACCCACGAGTTTTCTCACTTTTACCCTTCTGATTCTGTCCCCCATCCCACTGGAGGAGAGTGAGCCAGCAGCTCGGTGGTGCTTAGCTGCCAGCTGGGGTTATGCCACAACAACTACTCTCCCTTGATGATCTCAGTTCAGTACCTCAAGAGATGCTGTCCCAAATAGTGATTTCACCCTCACCTTCCTAGAAACCTGTTCTGTTACCATACATTTGTGTACGTACTGTTTCGCTTCTGTCTTTGCATCTCTGACTGGAAGCTTTCCTTTCCTAGTACACTGTCAATCTGTGGGGAAAAAAAAGTGAAAAAACAAAAAGTGAAGCTTTAGCTGCTGTTGTTGACATGAAAGAATTAATTAGCGAAGAAAATACCATCATAGATAATTTTTTTCCCCTCCACCAATCTTTGCCCCTCCCCATCCCTCTTTTCCTCTTTAAACAGAATATTTCTATTTGCCAAGCAGCGACATGTTAAACACCAGCTGAGGGATTGTGTTGGTTTTGCATGGCAAGGTTTTGGTGGCGGGGGGGGCTACAGGGGTGGCTTCTGTGAGAAGCTGCTAGAAGCTTCC